CACCAGCTAGCCGCGTGCTCCAGACTTCGCCTCCTACATCTATACTGTTCAAGTAATGCGATCATCTGTCATGATGAAAATCAGCAAGTGGAAGCCAGTGTGTGTTTATATCAAGTGCACGCCCTCCACCAGCCTTTGGTCAGTCCATTTGCACAATTTGAGATAGACAGTGCGTACACTCTGAGTCCTTTTTAAACACAGTTGTAATCAAGTAGTTGGGATGAGGAGGTTGACTGGCTTCAGAATAGTGCTTAGGTCCCTAAGGCAGTTTCCTCCAACTCTTGATAGATTGCTTTCAATAAGCTTGGGGTTTGGAACAGGAGATTGTACCATGGGCTACAGGATCAAGGGAGGCTTTTTAATGCCAAAGCAGTATGCCCGAGGCCTGCTTCAGTTGCCTCTTCCCACTCAACTACTGTGTTTCCCCGAAAATAAGACCTCACCGGAAAATAAGCCCTAGCATTTTTCAGGATGCTTGTAATATAAGCCCTACCCCAAACATAAGCCCCAGTTAAGATTGTCAGCCAGACATGACTGTTTGAATCAATGTAGATTTTTGTATGTGAATAAATGAATAAATGTAGCTTGTTGGAGCAAAAATTAATGTAGAATCCGGTCTTATTTTGGAGAAACACGGTATTCCTCCTGCAAGTGAAAAGCCTGGGCAAACGATGGGAAGTTATCAGAGCTTAGCGCCGACACACACTTTTATCAACTCACGCAGTCAGGGCTGCACAATGTTGGGGAAGCCATTCTCTGAACGGGCAGTCGTTTACTGACTCTCCTGACTGGCATCTCTGAATCTAGGTGTGATTTTTTTCACAGCAGACTAACCCCCCAGCTCACACTAATAGGACCCCTTGGCTACAATAGTCTTTTCCATCATCAGAGAGGAACGACCTCCTCCCACACAGCCGTGCTTGCCCTCGAAGCAGTGAGATATTTAAAAGGTGCCCAGTGGGGCATGAAATCTAAAGAGGAAATGCTGAAACTCTGGGAAGAATTTAGGTAGGTAGAGTGTGATTACTGAAGTTGAAATCTGACATTTAGTTAACCACTAATGCTTAAAAATGAATGCTGTGGGCTCATTAAATTACTTCCCTCTACCTGAATCTCTTCATGTTATCTGAATCATTAAAACAAAAACCCTAGGTACCATTAAACATGAATGTGGAACTGGGTAAACCTTGAGCAGATGGCTGCCTTAAGGAAGCACTGTTCAAAACACCATCGTGCTCTAGGATCCAAGATGGCTGTTTTTAGTCACTATGATTGACATAAGCATGTGTCATCAAATTCACAGGGGCAATGTAACAGCAAATTGTCCTGCATATACTCACTAGCAATGAATCCTGAAATATGCATGATGAAACTGAGATGGCACAGGATTTAGAAAAAGCCGAGGTATTTCAACAATGTCCTTGGTAGCCTTTCCATAAAGAGATAATGCAACAGCTGACAGAGGTGGCACAGCAAGACTCCTTTCTTGATGCAGACTCTGTTTTGGCCCTGGAAAGTCAGTGGCACCAGTTGCCCCACCCTATACTCAGATGTTCTCCCCAAGCCCACTCTGGAACTGGCAACTTAATGGGTAGTAAGTTCAAGTGTGTGGTATACCTAGTGTGTGGATGAGTGTGTGCAAGTGCCATCTGGCCACATCTTGGGCATTTTCAGATTCTGTCCTGTACTGAGAAAATGGCAAAGGCCTGATGGCCAAAAAAAGGCTTCCCACCACATCAGATGGTTTTGCTGGATGGCACCGCAACTGCCCTGAACCAGTTCACAAAGGGAAAACACCCAGTAACACACCAATTTGGAAGAAACTTGGAGCGAGCGTAAGCCTAGCTGAGCTGATCTCAGAATTCAAGTTGATGTTTGTCTCAGATCCGTGACAAGGGCAGATTGTCCAATAAAGTCTAGACTATATCACCAAGCCAGGGTTCAGGGCTAGGCAGATGGATAACATAGGCCAATCATGTGGTAGGGAACAGCTGTAGGCCACTGAGGCTTTCCAAGTGCTGGTTTGGAAAGAAATAAATGCCAGTTCCTATATTCATCATTTCAAAGTCTTCAACTGTGAGTGTTTTAGTAAGAAGCACGCACGGGACCAACATCCTATAATGAAGCAAGGTAAAGAAAGAAACGACAAATGGTAACTCAGTTTTAACATTTTATTGGGTAAATGATTTTAAAGGTAATAACAATAGTGTCAAAACTACTACAATATCTTTCCACAGCCATACCTTATAGGCCCACATAAATCTCATTTGTCTTTTTGCTCATTTGTAATATTTTAAAGCCATACATGTCATATAAAATGCCCATTTCCAATAGTTTCCTCAAACTATTAAGCAATTAAATGTGGAAGGAAGGAGGATCTAGTTATACTTGAAGGGGTTTCAGGTAACCCGTGATGTCTTACTGTAATTAAAAACAACAACAACAAAAAAAAACAGGTTCCTAAGAAAGAAGGAAAAGAAAAGCTACTCCAGGTAGCTTTTTCTCATTACTAGTCTCACCATGGCATCACCAAGAACTCATTATGCTGGTGACTGATTCAGAGTGATTTCAGGGAACATATAAAACACTAAAATAACTTAGAAACTAGATCCAAATATTTCAAAAGTAATCAACTTTGATGTACAAAAACAGTCAGAGGTGGTTACAAAAGTGTTTTCTCAGTGCGTCTATATGCCAGCGCAGTACTGGGTCCAGAGCAAAATAAAAGGTTTATTTTCTTCTGAAACAGTAATAAAAAACAAGGAAAACATCTTTGTATATAAAGGATCAATGCTGGTCTTAAGAATAATGTAATCAGAAACCCTTAAATCGAGAGGCACACAACGGGTTTCTACTTTTAAAAAATAAAAGGAAAGTCACCAGTTTATTTAAATGGAGGAGGTGCTCATACCCCTCAAATAAACTTAATTCAATTTAACATCACTAGCAAAAATCACTTAGAAACTGTACAAAAATAAAAAAGTTAACACATTTAATCCTGCAAGGTTTTTGTAAGGACTGGAAAGCAGGCTTTTGGAGCAGCATTTGGGCATGGCTGGGGGCTTCTTTGGTTTGATCTAACACACGTAAGAGATGGAACCTATTCCAGATGACAGTTTCTAATTTCCTGCACATTTGAAGACATGAAAAGAGGCCAGTATACAAGCATCCGGTGTCTGGGCATTGGGACTGTATGCACTGGACTGAACATCTCCTAACTGCTTTAAATGGGGTGGGGGGAAAAGAGCAAGCCTTGTACTTCATCAATTACACGGACCTCTCCTGGTAGGGGAGACTGGAGAGGGGAGTAGCACACTCTCGTGCAGTCAGAAGGCCACTTAATGAGGGGGGCGGAGGGCAGTTGTTCTTTTAGAATCTGGTACCTGGCTGACTTTAAGAACAAGAAAACCCTTCCAGAAATGGAAGCCTTTTGCTACATACCAAAGTAAAATGCGTACTATTTTCCAAAGGGAAAAATACCCAGTTGCATTTGAAAACGGAAAACATAAATGGAACTAATTAACATTTAAATGGGGGCTATGTAAACTTTGTGCTACTCAAATGAAGTTCAAGTATTACTTCTGAGCTATTTAAAGGTCACTGAACTTATACAATATTCTGGTGATGATGAGTGCAATTCACATTTGTGTTTCTGAACAAATAAACCACAACTGGCTAGAACACAACCTGTGCAATTAGAATCTCAGTTGGAGTTAAAAACACATGCTACATATTTCCACATGTTTAAAGTTCAATCAAACCACATATTTAACAGGTTTGTAATATACGACAAAGGTGAAAGGGTCTAGCATTTGTTTGTATGAAGCACACCATTACAGTTTGTATAACACCCTTTATACTACAAAGTCTTTGAGTCAACAGCTACTTTGAGACAACAATGCACTGTGCATTAATTTGAATACAAAAAGAGACAAAACTATCCTTTTCCCCCAAGCCATGGTGGGAAATAATTGCTGACCTCGTCCTCTGAAGCCTGCAGGATGGTTAATTCTTCAGTATAACATTATCACACTGGTAAGAAAACCTGTATAACATCTGCATATATCAAGAAATTTAAAAAATCTGATATGATTTTAGAGTCCGCATGACCAGTCACGTGACCTGCTCAAGATTGATTAGCACCGTTAAATACATAAATACACATATGTATGTATGTATGTGTAAGTATATGTATACACACATATGTATGTAATAGATCTTTTCTTTAAAAAAAACTTCTAACCACGAGCTCACCCAGGACAAGGAGCCTGTTGAACTGATGAGATGATGGATAAGATGGATCAATATTGGTCTATTTTGTCTCTCTTTAGTTTGTTTTATTTACTTTTTTTTTGCAGCAGACAATATCATTCAGCTTGTGCTCAGTTTCCCTATAAGGGCAAGAAAAAGTTTCCATCAGGTAGCCACTTGTTTTTATATTGAAAGACTAATCTGCTCCAAAATGCTCCCAAGTAGAAATGAAAGGACTCAAAATCCCTTTGTAAAAGGCAACAGCTAGCTAGCTAGCTTTCTCTGACTAATCTCTAGGTTCAGTGGGACTGGCTACCGAGATTATATTTCAGGCTAACAATTGGCTTCTTAGTTAAGGCATCACAACTGAAAATGGTTATTTCAACAACGGATGCTGTGGAGGAAGGAATACCAACACACTTCTAAGAACTCGCATCAAAAACTAAAGCAGTTTGCTTTGCCACAATGGCAAGCAGAAGCAATTTAGCCAATTATCTCACAAACTAGAAAAGGGTTTTCGAATTCTGAACTAGCAATCTGTCACTTGTCACAGCAACTATATGTATAAGCTATGCCATTTTGATATTCAGTGACATCTCATACTTTAAACAATATATATTCTGCACCATACTTATATTAATCACTCGATATACTGGTTTCCTGTTTGAAAAAATTATATATATGTATATATGTGTGTGTATAGATACATATACATCACACACACACCCACACACACACACCCACACACCCACCCACCCACACACACACACACACTCATTACCATAAAATGAAGGTAATCTTTCTCCAGAATCTTCTGTCATTTTTTTCCTGGTGATACACCTACGGACCTCCTATTGAAATTAGGAAGTTCTCTTGGTATGCATCATGGGAAAGACTAGCCAAGCAAATGAGCTCGGCTCTAACAACTATATCATATCTAAATGCCAACTCATTTCTACAGATATAACATCAACATAGTAAATGTGTTTCTATCAAAAGTATGTAGTGCAGAAAGAGATTCAAGCTATTTTATAGTATTTCTAAAACTCCAGTATTGTTCCCATGACAACAAACATATCTGAAATCATGGCATATGTGAACTTTTGTTTCACTATATTATCTTTACCGTTTCTTTAAAAGGTAGCTAACATGGTCTCTGGCCAATCATTACTTATTGAAACCTAAAGCTAACAAATTTAAATTAATATATAATAGACAAATGTCTCTTTTTGGTTATTTGCTCAAAATAATTTCTCAGCTTAGAAAAATACTTAAGAGTAAGGAATTTGTCTAATCTGTTGTTTCACATACAGAAACAATAAAATTTTACAAGAATAGTTCTCTAAATTGCCTTTTTTTCTAACCTCTCTTAATTCCACTTAATTATATTCTTCTCAAAGGCACTAAATTCTGTATCTGCTCTCTTCCTGATATTTGCTGCTTTTCAAAATGAATTCTGTAGCATATTTGAAAGGTAGCTTGTACTTTCTTAAAACAGTGTTTTAGTTTATAAGTTGATTCTATAAAGTGATGAGGCAGTCTCTCTTAATGATAACCAGCACAATAGGCACAAACGATTTCTCACTCTGTGACAAGCCCAATCATGGACAAATGTCCTATACTAGAACTAAAGTTCATATAATTTTGACCATGGGAAAAACATATACTTAAGGAGTGAAGACCCACATACTAAGCTCTCGTAGCATAATTAATTCTAGACAAATTCCAGAGTAATACACAAATACCTGAATTTCAAATAAATTCCTCCCAAACTCAGCTATGAAACAGTATCTATCTCACTGAGGAAAACTAAAGAAAAAACTAAATAAAATCCTTAAAAACTGCACAATTTCTTCCATCCACAGTCAATAAAAGGAAGGAAGAGAAGAAAGAAAAAGACAGGCAAGTACGGCAAGATGGACAGAAAGATAGAAAACTGATTGAGATAGCAAAGCAAAATTCTATATAATATTGTAAAGAAAGAAAACCCCCAAAGGTATATATGCTGCAAAAAAAAAATTAATGATCTAAAATAATAAAAAATGATCTTCTTAACAAATTTCATTTTCCTACCCGTTACCATGATGGTCTTAATTGATGACGTTGAAGCTTCACCATGGCAACGGAAACTATCATCATAAAATGGTACAGTAAAAGAGATAGCTAGACCAAGAAGGGGTAGGGTCTCCTGGGAAGAGGTCTGCAGAGAGGCCCAGTGACTGGCTGTGCGGCTCAGTGTCAGGAATAATGGTTGTATGGCGGAAGGGGGTGCCCAATGCCATTTTGGAAATGATGATGCTGGCGATGAGCAAGGTATTCAGCATAGCTCAGGGTCATCTTTTCACTACGGTACCTGAAAGAAAGGCAGGGAAGAGACAAAGTTAACATCAACAAATAGATGACAGGCCAGTGCCAGAGCTAGGAGGGACCTTAGAGATCATTTTATAGATCAGGAAACAGGCCCAGAGAGGAGCAATGACTTGCCCAATGTCACACAGCTAAGAAGTAGCGAAGCTGAGATCAGAACCCAGATCAGAATCCAGAGTCAGTCCAGTGCTCTTTCCACTCTACTACTCCTTGTTCAAATTGTTCTAGAAATTTTATTGTCCCCTCAGCCCCAGTTTGAGAACAGGAAGGAACAGAGGAAAGCCAACCTATTACCATCATGTACACATCTTAATTCACTTGACTATTTTTTCTTCTGGGATCTGCCATCGCTCCCCCTTTTACCATTCCTTTCCCTCTGTCCGCACATCCACTCAGGTCTTGCCATTGCGTAGAAACAGTAACAACCAAAACCTTTCCTTAATCCTGGTGTCCCAAACCCTCTTTTTCCCCATCTCTAGCTTTTTCATTGCCACACTTCTCAAGAGTAATATATATATTTTCTCACCTCACACTACTCAGCCCAGGGTATGTTGGTTGCTGCTGCCACTTTTCTGCGGACACTGCTCGTCCCGAAGCCTACCCCTCCTGCTTGACATCTCCTTACAGTACTGCTCACCACTCCCTTCTTGAAGCTCTCTTGTGCCATGGGTTCCACAACTCCACACTCCCTGGGTTCTCCCCCTGCCTCCCAGACTGCTCTCTGGCTTTTCGTCCTACGCCTGCCTTGGAGGATTTCTCTCTGTTTCTACCTTCAGTTCTTTTGACCCTATGCTCTGTCCCTGCTCAGTGAACCCTATCCTAATAGCTTCAACTATGTCCTCTTTACAGACAAGCCCAAATCACCATGTCTGTCCATGAGCTACACACACACACACACACACACACACACACACACACACACACACACTTTCAGTGAGCTCCGGGACATTTCTATACAGATATCCCAGGAAGCACTTTGAATCGAGAATCAATTCATAAACATGCCTCCCCTCCCTTAGTTAAAGGGACTGCCTTGGTCCCTTTTATCTAGACTGAAGCCTTGACTTCTTCTTCTTCTCTCCTTCGGAATGATGATTTGGTCTTTTCCTTTCTTCCATAATATTTTCTTACCTGTCCCCTCCTTTCTTCCCATTCCTTGTTAAGGCTTCCATTTCACCCTCTTTCGATTGCTGCCAGATAGTTTCACATAATAGCCATGTCTTCTAACTACTTTTCCTGTTTCCAATTCCAGAGTTATGCCTCCCCAAATCCATTTGTTTAAAACCTTTCAATAGCTACCAACTGTCTACAGAATCAGATCTCAACTTTTTAGTCTGGAATTCAAGACCTCATATCTGGCCCAGCCTACCCTCTTCACCACATTTTCCTCTAATGACCACCTTCTATATGTACCTTGAAAGAACAGCCAAATCGGACTATCGAACATTCCTCAGAACCCGCTTGGTACTTTGCCACCTATATGTATTGACTCACAAAGTTCTTTTAGTTAATCCCTTTCCTTCTCTACTCCCCACCTGTCAAATAGTCTATCTATTTTTCAAGCTCAGCCTCAAGTCTACCTCCTTTTGAAATTTTTAGTTATCGCTACCCCTTCCTGGAATTCCTCTTCCCCTAATTTATGATCTCATATCATCCATCACAGTCTGCCTCACATTAATAATCATTTCTGTACATGTCCTTCTATTCTCCGGGATTGTGAACTCAGGGAGAGCAGAGATGGAGGCATTTTCAAATTTGTAACTCCTCAGAGCTGAAAGGAGTCCATTTTTAGACTTTTTTACACTAGAGGCATCCAACGTAGTTTTATGGAATGAAAATAAATGGAAACCACAACACGTTTTCCTAAAATGTTCGATAGTCTCCATTTTAAGTACGTATCCCTAGTATCCCCATGCAGAAGTTTATTTAGCACTTGTGAGACTAGCTCAATGGTATTTTTCAGCAAGCTTTCATGGGAGACTACTATCGCTGCCAAAATTCTAAGGTTAAATTCAAATTTGAGGACTGCTTATCAGAATCCTGGGGTTCTGCTAAGCAATGCCAAAAGCTAGCCAACAGTTAATTCAGATAACTTTCTTCAATAATGTAGTCTAAAGGCCCAGAGGGTTTGCTCATAGAAAGCCAGAGTAATGACACAGAGCTAAAGATGGGAAGGATGGGCTCATATATCATACAGGCTTTACTGCCAAGCAGAGTTCCATTGTATTCACCCTCAGTAAGGCCCTGCCATTCATTTCCACTCTGTTTCAGAAAAGAGAAGCAAGTAGAGTTAGAGAGACCAAAAAAACGCAGAAGATTATAAGCATACACATCAAAATGTACTGGCTGGCGTACACTAGAAAAAGCCTTCTGTACCTGGTCAGTTTTATGGTTTTCCTGAATTCATTAGTAATTGGAGCTTTGTATCCTCCTTTCCTCAGTAAGGAGTCTATGGTCTGAATATGGTCCCATCCTGTGGAGTAGACAGATAAAATACAGTCAAGTACATGTAACAATCACCTTTGGTTCAACACAAAATGACTTTGTAGAGAGGTCAGCTATCACTGTCACCAAATGCCATCAACTCCTTTGGTCCTAAAAATCACACAGAAGAGCTAAGATTTCATCCTGCACAGAAGCAGGTTCACCACTTCCCCCCTAAAATTCTAGCTATCCATGAAGGTTAACAACAATGGCTTCTTACCTCCGCCAAACTTGAAGGTAAGAAGCTGAAGAGGCTGGCTATAACTGCTCAGTCACGTCTTAGTAACAAACCACAAACAGTGTATTCTCTAACAGTGACATCTTTAAAAGGGAGGGAAGAGCCTAAATATCACTGTGCCAACTCAGTAGTATTTAGGACTCTCATACTAACGCATGGTAATTGCTGTTCCTAATGCTATCTTCTGTAGTCAGTCAAGTGTATTTAGGTGCCGTGTTCAAGGGCATTTTTATTGGTTCTGACTTGGGACGGTATACTAATATCCGAGGCCCTCTGTCTCTTATGTATGCTTTACGAAGTCAATGGAACTGCAGGATTAAGACATTGTCTGTAAGCAACCCAAACAAATCTTCAGATAGCTGCCTTAAAGACTAACTCTCATTTGGGGGTTTAATGATATGAAATTTTGCCATTATATATCTCAGCTTTTTATGAGATAAACATGGGAAAACCAAACTACAAATGTTTTCCAATGAGAAGAAATGTTCTATAAAGTAAAGAAGAAATGTTCACTTCAACTAAAAAGTTTAATAGTGGCTAGAAAGGACAAGACACTACAGAGTGAAAAGTTATTCTGAGTTACAGTGGTCGTTCATAAAGGTCTGTGGTTTATCTGCAAAAACGGAAAAATGTTTGTTGATTAGGAAGTGCAGACCGAGTATATAAAATACTACTTCGTGTATTCTCAATGCTCTTAACCTTAATGGGAAACCAATAATCATAAGAGTAGGAAAATGAGTAATGGCAACTACCTCAGAATGAAATGTTTGATACTGACAATGAAATGTGCGGCTGACCGTCAAACCAAAGCCTTGTTTTGTTTATACTACACAAGGCTATATATAGCACAATGGAATATGGGAAACTGGCTCTTAAATTCATAGCAAACTATTGCCTAAAATAAAACCCAACTTTTACAAATATTTGCTTTTTTGAAAGTATACTTCTGTGTGTTTTTTGCTGTCAAACTTAAGCGCACAGATTCAACTTCTGTGTGAATAATTCACCAATTTCATACAGACATTGCAGTGGCAGTGATGGAAGAGTCATTTCTTATAATTTGACATTGATCAATTATCAGATGTTAACTGCAAGGTCAGCTATTGCATTTCAATTTGTATATTTGTTTAAATTCTTCACCAGATCACATGAAATAAAGTACAACAATGACCTTGCTCCTTTGCAACCTCCGGTAGGTAGGTGGCGGTGCGTTTTGATCCTTTTTCATTGATGAATTCTATTCTAATGCCATGTACACCCACCTGAAAGAAATTTGCAGTTTTATTAGTACAGTCTTCTTCACAGAAATAGTAAGAAAAAGTTATAATTTAACTTTCAAGAAAATGCAGTTCTTCCTTTCCCCTTGTTTTTGGAAGGGCACATCAGTTTTCTATTTGCAAACCATCGACTTCAGGTTTGAAGGCCGTTATGATGGCCATGGAGACTGAAAACACTGATTTGCATGTGGCCCACAGGTGCTGGGCTTTTCTATTCTGTTTGGGACTGGGACAACCATTCTGGGGCTGTGTGGAATAAGACTGATGATGGTAAGAATCCTGCCCCCACACCCGAATTGTGGCTCATGATAGTAAGGAACTAGACCAAGGGACCCGACTTTCAAGACATAGCAAACAACTAACCCATTTTCAGGTGAAATCACCAATTCAGATTAAGTTCCAAAATTTCTGGGGCTGCTTACTCCCTTCCCAAACTGTTTAAGTCTCTTTAAAACCTTGAATTATATATAGGTATGCAAACACAGATAAGACGGGAGAAAAAAACACACCCAAAAAACCAATAACAACCAGATACGACATTATCACTAATAACAGATAGGATTTCTAAAACAATGTATCATGGCTTAAAGGGGGCCAATGGCAAACCCTGACTATTTAGCTGCATCATTGCCCATACACTACTGCTACAGTTCAGGGGAATAAAGATGTCAAATCACTTCAGGGCAGGTCATTTTTAAAGTGTTTTAGATACTAACCCAGAGACCATTATAACTTGTTGATGTGAAATATTCAAACTTTTTGGTGATGCTCTACAAAAGATAGTCTTCTAAGTAAAAATGGGTGACTTCTTGCTAATGTTTCTAAAAAGTTGGGCCAGCTGAGTGGCTCAGTTGGTTGAAAGTTAGCTTAAGAGCGCAAGCTCTGGGCAACAGGGCCGCCAGTTCGATTCCCACATGCACCCGAGCTGAGCTGCTGATGAGCTGCCAACAGGTGGCAGGGTGGCTCAGCTGGTGAGACCTTGTGCTCCTAACAACAAGACTGTTTGATGGTGGGCTATGCCCACCTGCAACTAAGAATGAACTCCGCACCTTGAGCTGCACTGCTGCCCGGATGGCTCAGTGGATGCAGTGTGCGCTCTTAACAAGGCTGCCGGGTTCGACTCCCGCATGGGATGGTGGCTACGCCCACCCGCAACTAAGACTGAACACAGCACCTTGAGCTTAGAGGCCACGAGCTGCCGACGGGCAGCCAGATGGTGACCGAAGCCTTCCACCAAGACTGAAGAACAACAACTTGGCTGGTCCCCTCCCCCAATTTCCCAATTTAAAAAAAAGTAGTGTGCTTTGTCTTTGATTAGCATCCAATCAAAAAGAATCTGTGTTTTCCCCTCCTATCTTACAAAGAATATACAGCTAGAGATCATGAAAAGTTCTTAACTTCTTTGTAAACATGGATAATAAAAAAATGAAATTTCAAAAGCATAACAACTCCATTCTGTTCTTCCAAATCTGTGCTTGTTTTAGAACAGTGCTTTCCAAGTGGAGTGTATGGTTGTCCCAGGTACTGGAGGGAAGATGTCGGGCCAGGTAAACCTGTTTTACCCAGAAAAAGAGGCTTCTTTTCAGCAGATGAGTGAAGTCATAGACCTTTACTCTTTCCGTCTGCATGGATGTGAAAGTCTAGAAAAGGAAAAGGGGTCCATAAAAACTTTTTCTGCTTCTTCTGCCCATTGGCTGAAATTTTCCAATTTTCAAGGGAATATAAAATCCTCTGGAAAAACCACTTCATTCTTTCCCCAGGTCTTCATCCATCCATACATTAAAGTCTGTCAGATCTGAGTGGTTTATGTTTTTTTTATTAAAGCCTAACTCTGAGGCTATTCCTTCTATCTATTTAATATCAGTATTCTTATGAATCTCCTTTTGCTGAAAATGCAATCAGGGCAGCTGTTTAAAAACTAACACAATCAGGCCTCCCATGCCCTGTGGGAAACGACTGTGGACAGCTGAGAAGAAATATGAGTGCTCAGCTATCAGGCATTTCCAGGATAAAGGACATCTACTGATCTCCCCAGTGCTTGACACAGTACTGAGACAATGACAAATTTGTAACAGTTTCTGTATACTGAGTTTCTGATCAGTGACTTTGAGTTTTCCCTTTTACAATATCATATGCTTCATAATTTGTTTTTTAAAATATACAGCATAAATAATTTATGCCTCCATCATTCACTGAAGTGAATTTTGCATCTCCAACTCACTCTATCAAAATCTGTCATGTTAAAATTGAAAAAAAAATTTGGTGCTAATTAAAGCTTCTAATCAAAACAATGAGAGGAAGAATGTTCCCCTATCTGTGGGATGAGTGTGTTAGACTAAGTCAGTGGTGTTTAACTGGTATAGGGTGAGGATGGGGGCTGCAAACAATCAGAATTTCAGGAGGCTTCATGCTTCTGCAAGTATAGTTTGAAAAAAGAACAACTCCCTAGGTGATTTTTATTCTGAGTTAACTAGCTAACCTCTAATAATCAGTTAAGCTCTGACAAACTGTCGCAATGTATTGAAAAAGAAAAGGGATTTAGGCAAATTGGAGGAGGTTTAGAAACAAATTCTTTCTTCATAGGAGTACATTCTACAAAATGTACATCAACAAAAATTTCAGGGATTTTAAAGCCTAGTAATTTAACAATTAAAAGAGGTTAAGACCAATTGTATGGTATGTGAATAATATCTCAACAGGACCCAACTGAAAGGATACGTTGACCCAAATAAAAATTATTTCACAAATAAAACTGATTGACTCATATTTTGAGAAGGCACCACCATCAAATTTGTTATGAGAAAATATATCAAAATTCCCATTTTGAATTAGTACCACATTTACAATTTTCAATTCTTTTCTGTGTTCCTATGATTTTGAACAATCAAAAGCCCCTGTAAATTGACCTGTATGTATGGTGATTTTAAAGGAAATCCTTTGTGAGAAATAACTTACTTCATAGGTCAAAAATATATTCCACAAATATATAAAGCCCCAACCAGAGTGACTCATTTTTTCAACTACTGGAATCAGGAGAATGGTAATCATGTTCTAAACAGAATCAAAGCATAATAGCTTTTTGTCACCTGTTGAGCAACAGCATTTTCCTTACTCCCAGAATCACAGACACCACCAAATAGTCATACTGCACAGTCAAAGAGGAGAGTGGAAAATAGCTTGCCGTGGAGAATGACTGAATCTGGCCAACCTATGGGAAATCACTGGCTTTGCAAATTAAGTCATCTCCACTTGAAATGAACACGAAAACAAATTCTGTATTTTTTGAGGGCGGCATCTGTCACAGCTGCAACTCCAAAATATAACCCTCATGTATAATAATCGAATCCTCCTTTATGTTTTCAGCTGAGCCATCCTGCCATCTGTTGGTAGCTCAGCGGCCACTCAGCCCGGGCTCAGCGTCACTGGCCCATGTGGGAATCGAACCTGCAGTCCAGTCGCTCAGAGCTCACGCTTTTAAGCCAACTCCTAACCACCTAAGCCACTAGGCCGGCCCTCAATCCTCCTTTAGACAGACTGGAGGATCCTTCAGCCCAGCAGCATCCCAATAGACAAAGGCTGTAGTTGCAATTATCAGCTAGATAAGATATCAGCTAACTAGGGAACTGGGATTCCCCCTTGCTCTAAACTCAATTGCAGTACATTACCATTTCTAAGGATGGACAAGGAAGTAGCCTATGGGAAAACCATGTCACTAAACATACCCCTAATACCACTGCCCAAAGTACGGCCAGGTGGGCAAAAACCGGAGAGGAGCAAGCTAGCCTTATGGGAATCTGCAGGTCTTTTTCAAAATTAGGTCTGAGAAAAAAACCAAAAAAAAACGCTTTCAAGGTCCATCAGCTGTGATAATCTCCTTTTAATCAAGACTGGCTAAGCACAGCTATAAATCAACTAGAATGGTAGTAAATGAAATGTAGGGCTTACAGATAAGAGAATATGGAATTAAACAGAGCTGTACCTGTGTGTGCTGAGGGAACATTAAGAGCAGTTCAACAGATTCCTAGTTCATGCTAAAGAGAAAGCCATATTTCTTCTGAACCATTCCAAAGCAAGTGATTTTTATTAATGCTATTATACAATCTTTTGTTTTTGACATCACCCAGAATGATTATATCTCAAGATTAATGTTAGGACTGGAAAATGTATCTTGATTATTCAGTTTGGGGATTGTGCATCGCCAACGCCACTGGGCCTCAGCCCCATCCTCTTCCCTCTCTTGTCCATTTTGCTATTTGGTCACTCCTGCGTCAGCGAGCATGTGGGCACAGAGAGAAGAGATAGACGCAAATTAATCAATTTTGCTACATAATAAAAGGTTTGGTAGGAGAAGAGATGATAAATAATGGCTAAAATGAAGCTTCTAGGCTGTCTGTGGATTTCATTTATCCTCCTTATCCGGTCCCTTGTTAGAAATGTGGCTTCATTTAAAACTATTATCCTCTAATGCACTGACTCTTGACATAGGAGCATTAAAAACAAACAAACAAACAAACAAAAACCCCGTTCTCCTCCCACCCCATTATAATACCTGGTTCATACTTTGCTCCTCACAATTGCATTAGTCAAAGTTTAATACACCCTGGTCTGTCTATAATGCAAGTGTTAGTCCTGTAATTCACCAGCAGCACTACAAATCGGTCTCACTTTTACTTGGGAGCCTAATAAGCAAGCCAACAATATGGATATGCTGGAACAACATGAAAAAGTCATTGGCTAAAAGCATCTATGAGTATAAAATGTGCTCTGGATAAATCAAATAGGCTCCACGCAAGCCTGGGATCATTTGGGTCCACAATTAGCCCCACAGTCCAGACCCTCAAAACTAAATCTGCCCCTGATCACATCCTGGCCAAAAAAATCAATTTACTTCCTCAGGTTCATCCTGTCTTAGCAAATGCCACAGTTAGTCCCACTCCTCCTCACTTTCAGAACCAAATGTTGGGTTTCCCTGTAACAGGATGGCC